GGCTAATGTTTCGCATGGCCCGCCAAGAGTTTTACATTCTCCGGCTGAAGCCGCATATTAAGAAATGTATCCACCTCTGCAAAGTCTGTGCGCTTCATAAACAGCGGGCTCAGTCTCAAATCATGGCTGCGCTTCCCCCAGAACGCTGCAGTTTGTCCACCCCTTTCTCGACAACTGGTGTAGACTTCGCTGGTCCATTTCAGATTAAAGCGTCTCAGCTCAGAACGGCAACCTTTCTCAAAGGTTATGTCGCGGTTTTTGTTCGCTTCTCGACCAAGGCTGTGCATCTAGAATTATGCTCTAATCTCACAACGGAAGCATTTCGCGCAGCTTTCGCATTCTATCAAATTATTCCCCTCAAGGAGTTGACTGGGTATTCATCACCCCATATGGGCGGCCTTTGGGAGTCAGCTGTTNTAATCTCACAACGGAAGCATTTCGCGCAGCTTTCGCATTCTATCAAATTAGTCCCCTCAAGGAGTTGACTGGGTATTCATCCCCCCAAGTGCCCCCCATATGGGCGGCCTTTGGGAGTCAGCTGTCAAAAGCTTCAAAACCCATTTAAAAAAGATAGCTGGCAACCATAAATTCAATTTAGAAGAGTTCTCCACGCTTCTAACCCGCATTGAGTTAGTTCCGAATTCCCGACCTTTATCTCCCCTCTCACATGATCCTTATGATATTTTAGCTCTCACCCCAGGTCACTTTCTGAGAGGCGCTCCACTCACGGCGATTCCCGAACCCGACNTCACATGATCCTAATGATATTTTAGCTCTCACCCCAGGTCACTTTCTGAGAGGCGCTCCACTCACGGCGATTCCCGAACCCGACGCGGAAAACATCTCACTGGTCAACCGCTGGGAAAAGCTGAAGGCTTTACATCATCAGTTTAGCCGTAGATGGAAGGATGAATATCTTAAGGAGCTCCACAAGCGCTATAAATGGCAACATCCGCAGAAGGAGATCGAAGAAGGTCAAATGGTGGTTATCAAGGACGAGCCGCTACCCCCGAACGAATGGCGGTTAGGACGCATCATTAAAATTCATCGCGGACCCGATGGCTATGTCCGGGTCGCAGATGTCCGCACGCAGTCGGGCGTACTTACACGTCCGATTGTGAAATTGTGTGTTTGCCGTCCTCGTAACTAATAAATCCCTTTATTATTCCTATACAATCACTTTGCTTTCAACTCATCATATACCAACACTAAAGCCCTTTCTATTTACAGTTAACATGTCCGACGCCGAGGTCACCCGCTGTCAAATCTGCCATCGCCAACACGCACTGCGGTTTTGCAAAGGCTTCAAGGCTATGAATCCCGGGCAACGCGACGACGTGGTACGCGCACATGGCTACTGTCGCAATTGTTTGGCCCGGTCCCACATCACCGGCTGCTGTGACTCGCGGCATAGCTGCCAAAGATGCGGTCTCGCCCATCACACCATGCTGCACGTCGAGTAAGGTCGGCCCAGTGATCGACAGACCCGAGCTACTCAGGCCAGACGTCGTGATTACGACCAGGCCACCTCGCGTAACATGCCCGATCTTCGCACTCTCGTTCCCGGCACCGGCGCGAAAGTAGAAGCCGCTCCTTGCGGCGCCTGAGCAAAAGCCGCACCCCGCGGCGAGTAAGCAGAAGCCGCTCCCCGCGGCGCGGAAGCAGATACCAGACTCCGCGACGGACGAGTCGAAGCCGCACCCCGCGGCAGGAGAGCAATATTTAAACACACTTGTATTTTCTATGTTCACGAATGTATTTGTTTTCAAAAATCGCAATTCACTTATTCGCGTTATTATTAATTCAAAATATAAATTGAAAAAAGGGCACAAATTCAACGATTTAATGTAACCGCAGAGATATACATATAATTTTTAATAAGCAAAACAATCAGAGCAGTCACTAGGGATGTGTGTATCGAATCGGAAAAGCAGTCCTAAAGGCCCCTACACACGATACAGCTGTTTGGCTAAAAGGGATTTAGCCAGTAAGCAACAACAATTACGCAGATTTCTCAAAACGTTTAGAAGAGCTTTCCGAGGCTCTTGAACGGTCTTTAATTATAGATACGGTGACCATCCGTTCTGTTTTGTGCAGGACCGTACTGTTTTTCAAAGGTCGGTCCTGCGTAGTTTTTCAAACCTGAAAAACCTGAAACTGTACTGATTTTTTCCAAGTGTCCTGCACTTGTCCCGCATTTTATTCGTTATTTTAAAATTATCGGACAATGGATGGATTTTTTCAAAAAAGTGTTTTTTGGTACTTTTCGTAGCTTTTCTTCAATATCTCATGAAAAAATCTCCAAATTAACCTAAGCGACTTACAGCTCGAAGGGTATTGATGTGCCTCTTACCAAAATATATAACTTGTAGCGACTTCAATGAAAATTATTAGTGCTACAGGCGAAAAAAGGGAGATTTTCAATCAAATACGCAGTTTCATTTGATTATTTTTTTCATTATTTAAAAAATTCGATAAAGAAGATATATCATAACAGTAAACTTTGAGCCAAAGATAATGAAAATTGGATTAGAAATGTAGATGCTATGGAGCGCAATCTGCACAAATTATATATTTTTGTAAAGGGCACTTTGTAACTCGTCGTTTACGTCGATTCATGACGTAGATTTTTGACAAATAACTGCGAAAAGTACCAAAAAAACAAAAAAAAATAAAAGGAAGGGTATTGTTTTCGTTTTGAACGACTCAAAATTTGCCTATAAAATAATCTTTTAAAGATTTTCACTTTTCGTGTAAGCTATTGTAATTATAATATGTTTTACTATACTTTTATAAATATTCATGTAAAAAAATATTAATATCAATGAAGAAAACGTGATTCATTTTTAAAGTTTAAAATGTATGAAGAATTTAGAATCATAAATACTCTTTTGATATTTTTATACTACGTAAATATATGTAGGCATATTTTTGAAAAATTGTCCTTCATTTTGAATCCATATTTATGGTCACCGTAATTATAGAGGGCATAACGCAAAGAAAAGCTCATGAAATGGGATTTAGCAAACGGTCAACGTTTGTCGACTAAACGCCAAATCCAACTTAGTAAAATCGATCCTAGCATCATCGGTATTTAATGAACCAAAAGATGTTGTTGCGAAATTAATCGTTACACAAAGCAACGAAGTACAAGAACGTCCGGTATTGGCTTTTCGAACTCGTACAATTAATAATTCTAGATCATATCGTGGTAACCAGAGGGGAACTTATGGGCTTAGTGTTAGCCGCGGTCACAGTAATCGATGGAATAGGATAAACCACAACAACAACACAAATTTCAATAACACTAACGGAAGACAAAGTCAAATATTTCCGAGCAACAGGAACAACAACAGCCATAGCAATACTTCACGACATACCAATTGTAAAAAGTTTGTCGGTTTTCAAAAAATAAACACTAAGCCGAAGACTATATCTGATTTAGATTTTATTGAAAGAATTCTTGCCAGTACAAAGTAAACAATACGTATATACATAGCTAGGTTAGCTGCAAAGTATTTGTTTCTTACGTCAGACGAAGCCAGGGATGATAAAACTAACCGAGCAGGGTCGGACTTCGAACATTCCGCCCACCTTCGCCGGATTTGTCGGCGAAATTTTTATAGTGCGCCGCCCACCGTCTTGAGCGCGGCCTGAGTGGTTCCTTCCTGTGAATCCATCGGGTCAATCTCGATGGGTAGAACCGAGATCTTTGATAGAGGTCTTTTGATAAGACTGGTTTGCGTTCTTATAGTAACCACGCGAACTAATCCGTCTTCTCCAGCGTGAGCATCGATTATACGACCAAGAATCCAGCACTTGGGTGGCAACCGTTCGTCTCGTACTAAAACGAGTTGGCCGCAGACAATATTTGGTTGTTGCGTGCGCCATTTATTTCGCGTTTGAAGTTGATGCAAATACTCGCAGGACCAACGATGCCAAAAGTTTTGGTGCATCTGCTTCAGCAACTTCCATCGCTTCAATAAGCCAACCGCTTCGCCAAGGATGTACTGTTCTGGGAGTGACGTCAATGCTCTTCCGATCAGAAAATGGCCCGGTGTAAGCGCTGATAAGTCCTGAGGGTCATCGGACAGTGCAGAAATCGGTCGCGAGTTCAAACACGCCACCTGTTTCAACACGGTATAAAATTCTTCAAATGTTAAGGTCGTAGTATGAATTATCCGCCGAAGGTGGTGTTTCATACTCTTGACGCCTGCCTCCCAGATACCGCCAAAATTTGGAGAACCGGGGGGTATGAAGAGCCATGTCAGGCCGATTGTAGAGCCGTAACTAGTGGCAGCTCGTTGCTGAGCTTTGAACGCACGTACCTCTTCTTGAATTAGAGCATTGGCTCCAATGAATGTTGTCCCATGGTCACTATATAAATCAGAGCCAAGTCCACGTACCGATACGTATCGTGTCAGCGCTGCAAGAAACGCTTCCGTCGTCATATCGCTGACGAGCTCGAGATGTACTGCTCTTGTGGCCAAGCACACAAAGAGTGCCACGTAGCCTTTGAAGCTACGGTGGCCTCGACCTTTGGTTGTTCTTATGTTGAAGGGGCCCGCAAAATCCACGCCACTGTGCATGAACGGCGGTGACNAAAACTGCTGATGAACGTACTGGAGTGTGGCTTGGGTGCCACCATGAAGGGGGCGCTGGTGAGCTTGTCTAATGACCAACATGGTGAGATGATTATCCTTTGGTAGGATGACAGGGTGTCGCTCTGAGAATGGAATATTTGCGTTCCTTAAGCGACCGCCGACGCACAACATCCCATTTTTGTCTAACATGGGATTTAGCTTCAACAGTTTGCTCCTCTTGTTGACTGCTTTAGTATCATTGAGAGCTGCGATGTCGCTCTTGAACGTGATAGCTTGTATGCGCTTGATCCAAAATTTCATGGCAGCCTCGCGCTCGCTCCACAAACACATTATGCCAGTGTCATGGGCCATACCTCGCGAGGCCCGTATGAACCGGAAACATCAAGCAGTGATTACTTAAAGTCTTTCAAGCGTCGAATAGTTTTCCAGGATGAACCAATCAGAAGGAATGATGCGTGCCGTTGTAGCTTGCACAGGTTTGGATTCGGAGAGCTTTTCTGGTGCCTTTAGCAAAGGCTGTGGCCAGCTGGTTTCTGGTTGGCTAAGCCAGGAGGGCCCATGCCACCATAGGTGATGATCTACAAGCTGCGCCATGGTCAGTCCTCGTGAGGCACAATCAGCAGGATTGTCGGCCGTGTTAACATAACGCCAGTCGCTTACAGTAGTCACCTCTTGTATCTGGCTAACACGATTCGACACGAACTCTTTTAGCGCTCCTGGATCGGATCGTATCCACCATATTGTAGTCGTAGAGTCTGACCACATATAAGTAGATATAGAGGATAGGTTAAGCGTATCTCTTACCTTATTCATCAGACGAGCAGCAAGTAAGGCTGCACATAGCTCGAGCCGTGGTACTGTAACTTTCTTTAACGGTGCCACTCGTGTCCTCGACATCAATAGGTGAATGTGGACGGATGATTGAGCGACAACCTTTAAGTACACTACAGCGGCGTATGCGTGCGTAGATGCATCTGCAAAGGTATGGAGCTCATAGGTTTCATTTTGCTGGGATGTATTAAGCCAGCGTGATATGCGTACTTCTGGAACTGTCTTAAGCTCGTTGCGAAAAGATATCCATTTCGTCTGCAAGTCTTCCGGCAGATTGTCATTCCAATCTAGGCCTGTTAACCACAATTTTTGAATAAACATTTTCCCACGAATAATTACAGGCGCCAGGAACCCAAGTGGGTCGAACAGCTTAGCCTCGTCAGACAGCAGTGGTCGCTTTGTAAATGTGGTTACCGTGCAATCAAGCTTTAGTGCGTAGGTCAAGCAATCGTCTTTGGTAGCCCAGACGAGTCCTAAGTTGTTGTACTCTCCCTCTAGCTGAAACTCCCGTGAAGATTTAGTTTCAAGATCAACAGGATCAATGGTTTTCAGCACAGCGCGTGAGTTGGAATTCCACTTTCGAAGGGCGAAGCCACCTGCGCGGAGAAGGCCTTGCAGTTCTCGACGTCGTCTGGAAGCATCCTCGACATTGTCTGCCCCCGTTAGAACATCATCCACGCAGAACCCATCAAGCAAGATCTGAGCAGCGTCAGGAAAGTTACAGCGTTCGTCAGCAGATAGAGTGTGCAATACTTTAATTGCCAGGTATGGCGCGCAACTGGTACCACAAGTGACAGTTTTTAATCTGAAATGTGTTGGCTCTCGGTGCGAGTTAGGTCGCCAAACAATACGCTGCAAATCAGTATCTCTCTCGTCCACCAAGATCTGACGGTACATCTTGGCGATATCTCCAGTGAGCGCAATTCGGTATCGACGCCAATTTAGTACAACAGCAGTCAGGTCGTTCTGTAACTTAGGACCAGAGTATAAGCAATCATTAAGAGACTTACCACTGTTGCATCGTCTTGAAGCGTTGAAGACGACCCTTAATTTCGTTGTGCTTCTGGATGTTTTCCAGACGCCATGGTGGGAGAGATAACAGATGGGCGTTGAACATTCTTCTTCTTTAGTGATGCTGACCATATGTTGCAATGATGCGTACTCGTTGATAAATTCTTCGTACATATCTCGCATGACCGGATCTCGAGATAAACGTCGACGAAGATGATCGAGGAGAACAATCGCATCATGGTGCGTAGAGGCTAATTGCGTTAGATCAGAATCCGGTTTGACTGGTAGCCGCACAATATAACGACCGTCTGCAGCTCGCCGCGTAGTGCGGTTGAAGTAATTCTCGACGAATCGATCATCTTGCGTTAGTGCGGGCGTTGAATTAAGCTCTTCCAACTCCCAGAAGCTGCGAAGCGTTCGGTCGAGATCGAGTTGAGTGTGATAGCAGTCGATCACATCCCGTGTCGTTACGAAAGATTGATTAGCAGAACTGCCGAAAATTACCCAACCCAACCGTGTACTTTGGCCAATCAAAAGACTAGTTTTGCTACGCTGTATTCCGCTTAACAGAAGAGCAGCATAATCGGCAGCATTTAAGATGACATCAATCGGTTGCGGTACGTTCCAGGTGGGATCAGCAAGGTCTAACTCACTAAAGTGTTGAACATCGTTCGGTGCAATAGCTACCGTCGGGGTTCGGTTTCCAACTCGAGGCAGCACTAGAGCGATGCATGCAAGCTCGAAGTCGGATTTCAATGAACGTAGATTAAACGTTACTAGCCCCTTTGCTGTAGCCACTCTATCACCGTTAGCACCATTAATAGGTATCTTTACATTAGACTTCACCAAGTGTAACAAGTTGACTGCGGATTCGCTGATGAACGTTGCTTCTGCCCCGCTGTCCAGTAAAGCTCGTAAAACGACCTTGTGTCCGGACTTTGACTTAACCTCAATCAGGGCTGTGCCGATCAGTACCGGCGGCAGCATATTAGGGTCTTGCCTTGTTGTGACTGCGTTATGAGAGGATGCAGCCTGTTTGCTCGTACTAGTCGCGTTGAAAGCAAAGTAGTCGTGCAGCATTGTGTGGTGCTTAGCTTGACACGTCTTGCAACGGCGCTCGGAAGAACAAGCTGCTTGCTGGTGGCCGATGTGCAAACAGTTTAGGCACAGCTTAGCTTGTAGTGCGTAGTCATACCGTTCGTGCGGCGATTTATTGCGAAAAGCTTCGCAAAACATTATAATATGCTTACCGGAGCAGTTGGGACAGCGCCCAGATGTGGTATGATACCCAGAAACAGCAGAGGTGGTGCCTAACTTCTTTGGAGTATGCTCCTTTACGAAGGGCTTCGGCTCGGTGTAGCTTTGGACTATTTCCAAGGATTGTGTTCTACTGGTAAGAAACTCCTGCAGCTCCTTAAAAGTTGGAATATCGTCGTTCGACTTTAGGGAGAGCTCCCATGCTTTGCGAGTGGTGGCATCCAACTTGTGAGTAATAGTGAACACCAGCCAATCATCCCAATGCTCGATTGGCCGGCCCAAATGCTGCAGCGCACGTATAGACGACGTCACGCCATCAAGTAATGACCTCAGCGCAGAGGCAGATTCTTTCGGAGCACAAGGAAGTTTGCTAATCGCTGCTACATGAGCATTGATTATTATCCGTTTGTTCTCGTACTTGGATTGAAGTAGCTCCCACGCAACCTGGAAGTTAGCATCTGTCGTAGTGACGTTATCAAGCGCATTTTTTGCCTCTCCAGTAAGGCTATCCTTTAAGTATTGCAAGCGCTGTGTATTTGTGAGGGATGCGTTAGACGTAACAATGGAGATGAACCAATCTTTAAACGGGAACCAGTGTAGGAAGTTACCATCGAATGGTGGAATTCGAATGCGTGGTAGTGATTGATTTACCGCCTGTGTTGGTACGAAGGACTGCGACATCGATGTATCAGTGACCGAATTCGTGCTGTCCAATAGATCGTGTAGTTCGCCCATGGTCTCGGCATAGACGCACTCCACTGCCTCGAAGTCAATAGATGTCGCAATGCCAGCTGCCTCCATTTCTTCAGGAGTGCACTCACTAACAACCTGGTCATGAAGACACACGAATTTTGCCCAATATTGCCCCAGAAGCTCCTTTCTCGCTTGCAAAAAGCCCTTTGTTTGCTTTGCTTTTGCGGTTTTGCGGGTATTTATTGCGAAATTTAAAATTGCCGTCTTGTTTGACTGCAGCTGCTTAACCTTCCTATCCATGTCTAATACCACCGTAGTGCGTTGTACGGCAATGATGTCTGCGAACGCTGCTGCAAATTAATTTCAGCAGCACGACGTTAAAGTGAGGTTATGTTGTAGGAGTCCCACCACACGTGCGTGCGGAGCAGATTCCGAAACTCGTTTTTTATGCGCAAACGCTGCCAATAACTTTTGCAGCGGAGTATCCAAAGCCGTGGATTCCCCGCAAGGGATGCCAAAATGTAAAAAGTTTGTCGGTTTTCAAAAAATAAACACTAAGCCGAAGACTATATCTGATTTAGATTTTATTGAAAGAATTCTTCCTAGTACAAAGTAAACAATATGTATATACATAGCTAGGTTAGCTGCAAAGTATATGCTTCTTACGTCAGACGAAGCCAGGGATGGTAAAACTAACCGAGCAGGGTCGCATTTTCTCGGACTTCGAACACCAATAATGGCAGGCATTCAAATGTCCGCACTTTAAACGCGCAAGCCCCTCAGGAGGGAACACTGGGGGAGGAAAATGAATAAATGCGATTGTTAAACATAGCAAAAAATCCATATATTGTCTAAATTTAAACTACGCAGATTTTATAGAGCTAAGATGCACCGATTCCTACAAATGGTGTACATTCCTAGTCGACACACAAGCAGACATCTCTTTGATTAAATTGTCTTCCATAAATAAGAATAGGCGAATTGACACCAACGGTATAATAAACATAGCAGGTGTTACAACGGGGTCAGTTTCGACAATCGGGAAAATAAGAACGAATTTAACAACATCAAATAAATTTAAAAAAAAAACATTATATATCGTGCCGGACAATTTTAATATTCTATCAGATGCTATTCTTGACAAAGGATTTTCTCAAATCGTATAAATGCAACATAAATTATGCGAACGGTCACCTTTCATTTAAGTTGAGCACCAACAAATTGGACATTCCAAGTTTACATGGTACAAAGAGCGATACGTGCGTCATACCACCCAGGTGCGAGGTATCGTTAACTTAGGGAAACCAAACCAAGAGCTATTCATAGAATCGCAAGAAATTCGCCACGGCGTTTTCACGGCAAAGTGTATCGTCAACAGTAATAATCCGATTTTAAAAATTATGAACACAACATGTTAAGTCATTACTATGTATACTCGGCAGCATAAACGGCAGCAGATTTAAAGCGCAACTTTACTCAAACAACAAATATCTAGTACTGAAAAAGAAAAGTTATTAAACTTAGGGCCGTTTTCTAATGTACGCAGTAAAGTTGCCTTTACTAACAGGGCAGATAAAATGTTCCTCACTTATCTTACCTGTAAAAATAAATTTGTTATTCCGTAGGGTGAAACCTCACTACATTTCCGAGAGTGAAACTTCACTACATTCGTCATAAAATTCCAACGGTTGGCAATGCAACATACGCAAATATAGAGAAAGAACAACTGTTAGCAAAAACCAAAACCTTGGTTGAAATATCTAATATATCTAACTCATGAACCAAAACCAAACCAGGATTTAAAGTTAGGTACAAATTTTAAAGGTTGCAACGGGTAAGCAACAATTTATCGATTCGAGAAATTAATGCGCTGATGAGAAAACGAAAACTCGTATATCGAGGCGATAAAGTGGCCGGTAATCTAAAGGTTAGATGAGGAAACGGCCCTTATGCCTTCAATACGCCGATATATTTGCATTAACAGACGATGCCATGACAATTAATAATTTCTATGAGCAGAGAGTTTTAATTGCTGTTAAGGGCAAATATGTCTCAACGTTAGTTCATCATCAAAATATAGACTCTATCCTCGACCAGCAATGCGTAAATGTGCGGAGTTCTTCTGATCAAATTTTCATATGTGCTTCATATATTCCACCGAATAGTTACGATGCGATATATTCATCTCATGTTGATAACGTAATTTCTCTATGTTCTGAAATCGCAGATCATAATTTATGCGTTCTCGGAGATTTTAATTTAAGCAATATTAGTTGGCGTTAGTTAAAGAATTTCTTTTCTTTAACTCCAGTGAATGTTTCTAATGATTGTGAACTTTATGTTACTGATAGCTTTTTAGGTATTGGACTATTACAAATTAGCGGTTATTTTAATAAGCTTAATCGTCTTTTAGATTTAATCTTTTTAAGCAATAATTTGAACTACCAATTTTCTGAATGTAGTTCCCCAATTTCTACAGGGAATGTGCATCACATTCCAATAGTAATAGGTATACAATTTTATGATTTTTTTTTAGTTCCACCTGATAGCTGCCCCCCAATGTTTAATTATAACCAATGTAATTTTAATCATTTAGATTCACTATTGGCGGAGTATGACTGGTCGGGCTTGCTTACCAGTGTGGATACCGCTAAAGCATTTAGCTTCTTTAAATTATGGGTGTATGATGCATGCGTAGATCTTATTCCTATTCGCCAAAGGAAAGTTTATAAATTGCCTTGGTTCACCAAAAGATTAAAATACCTCAAGAATTTGAAGAATAAATTTCACAAGAAATTCAAGTCGACTAAGATGCAATACTACTATAATCGATACCAGTACTACTTACTTAAGAAAATTCAATGATCTCGACTGCCACAATTAATTAAAAATTAATTAAAAGCAACCCGACTGCTTTCTGGAGCTATATTAAATATAAAAAAGCAAATTCAAATTTTCAATCCTCGGTTTTTTACAATGAAAAGCAAGTGCGGAAGCTGCGAACCTCTTCGCTGAGTTTTTTCGCTCCAATTTTATTGCGGATTATGATCCTTTTATTGATAGTAGTTTCATCTCTGACTCAGTTTTTGCTTTTGGTTCGCTCACTGTATCTACTGAAGACCATAGCAAAAGCATCGAATCCTTAAAAAAAAATAAAAAAAAATTGATGTTGACGGTCTTTCAGCTATTCTCTTTAAACGATGTCCTTCACTTGTTGAACCTTTAACATTAATTTTCAATAAGTCATTATCATCCGGTGAGTTTATTGTTGACTGAAAAAGGGCCTCTATAACACCAATTTTCAAAAGCGGTAATAAAAATAACGTCGCCAATTATAGACCGGTTTCGAAATGGTCCACAGTATCCAAAATTTTTGAGTGCATCGTTAAAGAGAAATTATTATTTGGTACTAGTAGTCTGATTTGCCAAAACCAACATGGTTTTGTCAGAGGTAGATCAACAGTTTCCAATCTAGTGGTTTTCACGGAAGACTGTTATGCAGCCTTTCTAGAAGGTCATCAGTCGATACAAATTATACAGACTTCTCGAAAGCGTTCGATAGAGTCTCCCACAAGGTTTTAGTAGCTAAATTAAGTAAGCTTGGCTTTCATTCGGCCTTCCTTGAGTGAATTAAATCCTACCTCAGTGAAAGGCATTGAGTTGTTGCTTTCGATAATTTCTCTCCGAGCCATTTATTGCGACGTCAGGGGTTCCTCAAGGGAGCATTTTAGGACCTCTGCTGTTTGTCTTATTCATTAATGACGTCAGTTCTTGCTTCTCGTCATCTAAATTTCTATTATATGTGGAGGGCCTCAAGATATACTCCAAAATTAGGGACGTACATGATTCTATTGTTCTTCAAGCGGAGCTTGATAAGATTTAATCTTGGTGTACGCGAAATCGTCTGTCTGTGAATGTGAATAAATATTCTCATGTTACTTTCACTAGAAAATTAATTCCGTTACCCACGAGTTATTATATTTCGGGATTCTCTCTAAATAGTGTTGCTGAAGTTAAGGATTTGGGGGTATTTTTTTACACGAAACTAAGTTTCGTTACGCATATCAATTATATTGTATCGAAATCTTATACTATGCTGGCTTTTGTTCAGCGTAACAGTCTGTCCTTTTCCGACCCGTATACTCTGAAGATTTTGTTCATCTCTTTCGTAAGATCTAGAATTGAGTACGCTGCCGTCATTAGGAGACCGTACCATGTTACGCATATTAGACGCATAGAACGTATTCAAAAAACTTTCATACAATTTACACTCCATTCCTTGAACTTTAGTGAACCAGTACCAACTTATGAATCGCGTTGTCAGCTTTTAAACTTAAAGCCTCTGCATAGTAGGTTTGCCTTTCATGCCTGTAATTTTGTAGTTAACATTCGAAATGATTCAGTCAACTGTCCTACCCTTTTGGAACGATTACCTTTCAATGCTCCTATACGAAATTTACGTCGGGTCTCACTATTTTATGTAAGAATTCCAAAATACAATTATATTAAATTTGCCCCTTTGCACAGAGCTCTATCTGAGCTAAACGAGGTTCCTGGTTTGGAGCTCTCCCAGCCTTTTAGAACTGTGCGTAGCCTATTATTAGATTATTTTTACATACTAACTAAGCAACATTGTCCTATAGTCAGTAAGAATTTTTTTTGTTCGTTGACTAAATAAATAAATAACTAAATTTAGAGTAAAGGATACAAACTCCGTTTATACGAAAAATTACCGTTGCCATATTCGCAGCGAGAAGAAACTGATAGGCAAGTGAAACTCTTAAAAATAATCTTGTGGCGAATACTGCGGCAACGCGAAGCGAACAACGAGAAATAGGCAGAATGTTCGAGGAATGACGTAGAATGTTCCACAAAGAGAAACGTCTGTTTGCTGAACACTGCGAACAGCTAGAGAAAGAGAATGAGCGATGAACTTCAGAACGTTCGAGAGTTGCCAAGGGTGCGAGCGCAGGAATATAAGAGCCACGTGACAGCGGAGTTGGGTTAGTTATGNAGAATGTTCGAGGAATGACGTAGAATGTTCCACAAAGAGAAACGTCTGTTTGCTGAACACTGCGAACAGCTAGAGAAAGAGAATGAGCGATGAA